CAAGACCGAGCAGCTCTGAATAATTTTGGTGGCGCTTTGTTGAAAGAAAGAGACACAACTGAGAGATGATAAACGACATACGACACACCGCCGAATCACGCATGTCCAACCAGCTAGACTAGCGTATCCTATTCAAGATTTATTGAATATAAAAATACACCAATTATGGAACACGGCCTAAAAATGGGGAATGGGTTGAGGCTGGTCGACACTATCTTATACCTAGCTAAGCAGATTCGCGGCCAATTCATTCATTATAATTTGCACATCTACCACAAAAATTCATCTGTCGTCATTGCCATAGAACCTACAAAACATCCCATGGACTAAAAATTCTTGTGTATATTATTATTATATATATAAAAATTTCTTGATGGTAATCAATGAGGAAATAGGGGATGAACCCGAAACAAACTAAAATATAACAAAACACACAAACTAAAGATAACTGATGTTAGTAGAAGCCGTCGAACTCCGAAAGAAATAAGAGAGACCGCTGTATTGTGTCTTCAGACAAAATCAAAAGGATCTCCCGCTAAGGAAGAGGGGAGAATAACATAAATACGGCCACGGAAAAAAAAAGAAACTGATCCAATCGAGATGAAAAAGAGGTCAAAAAGCAAACTGGGGAAGTTTGTGAATCTCGGCTTGGACCATAACCAATGAAGAAGCCTTGAACAGGCCAGGAACGACACTTATTCACATTAACTAGGTACACAAGAAGGGTCTATCCTAACCAGGGGAGGACTCCACAGAAAGAAAAAAAAACACCTCGTTGTGATTTAGGGAGACTTAAAAAAAAGAAAATCAAGGCTATCCCCTTTCACGCGAACCATGCTCGCCATATTTACCCACCTTTCGCTAAATTCTTTCGATACCAAACGCTTTCTATCAGTTCTAATCTTCATCCCGAGCTCAAAGACTAGGATTAGATCCTGATGAGAATAACGTTCATATCGCAAGTTTCCTCCATTCGCATCGACCAAATCACCATTCGAGCCGTGGCTAAAACCATCCGTTTCATCCCAGAATACGGCGGCGACATATTGTCATACGCCTATGTGCGATCAATGAGCACCAGCATTTCGGGAATGATACGAGCCGTCAACTCGCCACTCGCGTATCCTATTCTGTACCTCCTCTTACTACTTGAGCACATATGTAGTCTCTATACCTTAGCAATGGTAATTAGGCAGTCATGTAAATATCACTACAATCACTGAGATTAACCTCGGATTAACCTTTTAATTTCACGCATGCGCGTTGTTTGTTTTTGAATTTGTCGACTGGAAACGGCATACTGTACTGCTTGGCATTTGCACCGGAAGCTCCAATACGAACATTTCAGATTGTTTGGGTGTCAGTGAAAAAAATTCGGAAAGAGTTGGCTGATATATCCAGTCAAAATCATGTTCTTTGAAGTGATCACTAGTGATTGTGACGTTATGCCTCCATTCATCTTCCCACAGGGCCTCAGACAACATGAAGGCCTAAACCAAGGGCTTTGAGGAGGTAGTGATGCTCTGGGTCAAGAGGGTGGCTGCTGGAAAATCCTATATCTGGAAATTGGACTCTGCCCCATGCCACACAAGCAGGATAACCCAATCATGGCTGTCAGACAATTTCTGTGACCACATCATCCATTATCTGGCCACCCACCTCCGCAGACTGCAACCTCTTTGATTATTATGTGTGGGCGTAGTTGAGGGAGAGACAAACAAAAGAGTGCTTGGGTGTCAATCTGAGGACAGTGCAGATGATTCGGAAAGAATTGGATTAGGTTATTACGAAGGTGATAGTGATAGCGACGTTATTCCTCCATTCATCTTCCCCCATGGCATACATCAAGTGACTTTAGGAAGTAGTGCTGCCTTGGGTCAAGAGGGTGGCTGCTGGAAGACCCTATTTCTGGCAACAGGACTCTTCACCATGCCACACAAGCAGGAGTACCCAGACAATTTCTACAGCCACATCACCCCATACATCTTGGGACCTAACTCTCCAGACTGCCACTCTCTAGATTATTAAATGTGGGGCGCAGTTGTGCAAGAGACCAACAAAACTCCTTGTAACACCAAAGGTGAACTGAAGGCAAGGATTATGGCCGCATTCACCAACTTAAACAAAGAGACTGTCCAGAATAGTCTGGAGGCTGTGGTTGAATACCTGTGACGATTTTACTGAATAAATTTATTCTTTAGTATTTCAAGATATTTTTGTGTAATTTTGGTGAATATATGTTAAAATGAGACGTCAGTGTTATTTTCATTTTTTGCGTAATTGGGACGCCAATTTATCCCTGTATGAAGGTTGAAGTTTAATTTTATTTGATCTTTACATTTTTTTTATTTATCCATCGCACCCTGTACACTTTCTCAACCCGTTTTTTACTTTTTCTTTTATCCCGATCTACGCACATTGAACCAAGTAAATGATCCGGATAATTCTAATGTCTATCCAATATATGTTTCTTAGCATTTAAATATGATTTTGCGTGGCCTACGGTCACATCACGTGATAGATCACCGAACTTAAGCACTGTCGAGTACATAGATATATATCTATTTATATATTAGGAATACCAGATGCGGTAAGCTTGGACGTATGGGTGGTGTAATGTATAATGTCTCAAAATTGGGAATCGGAGAGTCGAGTTCCAATTTCAGTTGTCATTGTTATATTAAAAAAAAAAATTACGCACAAATGCCCCTGGGAAAGTTATGAATCCCCCCGAGCTATGGATTAATTAGTAAGACTTATATGAGGTGGTCGCTTCCATAATAGATCTTTAGATAAGTTTTAGAGTATGTAAATGCATTTCGGAACCTGTTATTGATCATTAGGTAGTCAGAATTGTTCATTATGTTCACTCCTATGCTTTTTTTTATGCATACAGTAACCAACCAGGTGTTGGTTATTACTTAGTCGTCCGCTGTGAACAATTAAGCCATTTTTCTCTTATATTCTTTGAGTGATTCAACTACGCACTTGCCTTTTATTTTAATGTTTGTTGCATTTCTAGTTTTGTATTTAGCCTCCTCCCCATGATGACGATGATTTCTTGTAATTTGCACTGACTGTCGGCGTTATCTAGTGTACTGTAAATCTTCTTTGGCGATAAAACATAAATATAACAACTGCTTCATTGTTTTTGTTCTTACACGAATTTACCAGAAGTTTGTCCTGGGCAAAACTACATCCAACAGAAAGACCTCTGATCGGGAGATTTTGAAGAGCGTGGAACCCCCCTCTTAATTGCTGTTGTTCCCAGGTTCACCCTGACCCGTGGGTGGTAGCACCTTATATGGTCCTAGCTATGTGTAAATAGTAAACCCACAAACTGGAGTTAACAAAAAAAAAAAAAAAAAAAAAAAACCCTGAAAGTATTGATTTAAAACAAAGCAATAAAAAAATAAATTACCAGCAAAAATAATACCAGCAATAGATTTTTGTAAAAAGAAAAAAAATATTCAAGCTCCCAAGATAATTAAATTTCGGCATTAAATGACCCATAAGGAGTTGATATGTCGTTAAAGCAACAAGCAAATTTGCTACAAGTCATCATTGGCGTAAGGATGTACAGGTTGCGAAAAAATCTGGGAAAACGGAATCGGCGAGTTGAATTCAAATTCCAACCATAGCTGTTGCGTTTATATCCGCACAAATGTTCTTGGGAAAGCCATGAAACCGTCTCTCCTCTCACCATCTATGGATTAAATAACAGATTAGAGTGGACTTTTTAGCATTGGGAAACAGTCATTTTAGGTGATGGATTAGTCAGAAATCAAAACATTGCAGAAAACAACGTAAAATCACTCTACTATCTTTCCCCAAAAGTCATTGCAATTCATAAATAGTAACAAAAGTTTCTGTGGAAAGGTATGATCACCTACGAACAGAAGAGACGTGAAAATAAGAGAATCATTAATCTTTGTTGTTGTTGTTGTTGTTGTTGTTGTTGTTCTTTTTCTTCTTCTTCTTCTTTGTACCATGCCCCTTCAAGAATGGAACGATCAGGGCCGCAAAATAACTTCCTATCAATTGTGGCTATTTGTAATGTTTGCTGTTTTACTATACCCCACTACCTCTTCTGACATCCATTTATACAAGTTCGTTAGTTAGGGTTCTCGCTGTTTACGTTTCCTTTACTCTCTCTTTCTCTTTCTCTCTTTCTTGCTTTCAATCTGTCCCGTGAGTGTTAAATTTTTCAAGCTCTCTTTCCTCACCATTTCTAATTTTGCATAAGTGCGCTTTTTGCTTAAATTTTCCTTAAAATCTACTCGTTACTTAAATGTTCTGTCCGTGCTATTTTTAGCATCCTTCTGTAGAACTCCTCAGTTATTTTCATCTGTGCAGAAATTGTTTAGTATTCAATATCACATTTGAGGATTGATATTACATTGCAGTTTAGCACTTTTTTCTGTTTCTAATGCGATTTTCCTCTTTCTTAATACTTTGCCTAGCTTTTGAAAGGCATCTTTTGCTATCCCAATGCGCCTTATTATTCCGTCCACTTTTCTACTGAGCAATATATATTTTCAGAATGGTTTTTACAGGTGGTCATTACTTGTGACTGTGTCAAATCCAAAGTCCAAACCAATCTTAAAAGGACACCTTTTATGGGCTCTACTTTCCAAATTTAACATCCATTAATTGAAAAGCTGAAAAATTTCATTCTTCATTCAACCCGCACATGTTTCTGATGGCCTCGGCTATCAGAACAATTTCGCTGCCATCGGTTGAACGCACGGTACCGCTTGTACGAACTTTGACTGACTTTGAACACTAACTGGTCAGGTGGTCACTGTGTGGTTATCGCCCTTACGCTGAACAATCTTGTGCCCTTACATGAAGGTGGGGGCATCAGAAAGGGACATGAAACCAAGTGTAATGCTGGTTACTGTTCTGAGAGATGATTGACCCAGCCCTTTGACCTCCATTAGGAATCTAATCAGGAAAAGTTCCGCAAATGGAAAGTGGAAACGGAATAATGATAAGCTCTAAATTGCTTCCCTGAGTCGAAAGTGGTCGCAATATAGAGAGGAAGAGCTAGATAGAGGGGCGGTAGATAAGAGAGATAAATAGATATAAATATTACTAGTGAGGAGGTGAAGAGAGAAAGTGGCATAGAAGAAGCCAGAAGAGCGAAAGAAGGAATAAGAGAGCGAAAGAAGAAATAAGAGAGCGAAAGAAAGAATTTTAGGAGAAATGTAAGAAGAGAGAGAGAGAGAGAGAGAGAGAGAAATAAGGAAGGAGAACTGACGGGGAAATGTGAGAGAGAAAGTGGGTGAAAGGATAGGGTGAGGAGAAGAACGGAGAGAGAAATGGAAGGAGAGAGAGAGGGGGTGACGGGAAGAGACGAGGTAGAAAAAAGGGGAGAGAAATGGAATGGGAGAGAAAAAGAAGAAAGGACGGATGGAGAAAGATATATGGAAAAAGGAGAGAGAAACTGAAGGAGAAAGAGAAAGATGGAGTAGTAGGAGAATGAAAGGAAGTCGAGGGAGGTGCAGAGAAAAGGAAGGAATGCTAGAAAGAGAGAGAGAGAGAGAGAGACAGACAGACAGACAGACAGAAAGGAGGGAGACAGAAATGGAAATAGGGGAAATCGGAAAAGAAGGAAAGGAAGAGACACTTTGACTGATATAATGTTATAATAGAGAATCTTTAATGGCAACAAATTATACAAAGTATACAATTTATTTTCTGGAATCAAGGCGTTTGCAACGTTACAAGTTAGCGTTACAAACACGTTTTGTGGAGTATGCAAAATACGTTTTTAGAACTACTAGGTAACCTTGACATATTTGGGAAGGATATCAGAATAATCCATTTTTTGTTAATGTAACGTTACAGGGTCTCGAAGATAAATCTTGCAAGACGGTACAAGACGACTTTGCGGTCTGGAGAAAGGCAAAGATTTTTCTCAAAACTGAGGATTTGATGCCCATTAAATCTACATGTAAACTCTCATAAATGCTTTATTTCCATAATCAGAAGTAACATAATGTCATAAACATATTCATTTAATGCAGCAACATAAGTCAGTATTTACGGTTTTATTTTTCAGTGACCTTTTAAGTTTTGTCATAGAGAAATGATTTCTAAACGTTCATAATAATAAGATTTGAAACTCTAACAATTAAAAAATAATAATTACATGCAGGCAAATAATGACGCGAAAATTCTGGTATGCGCTCGTCATATCATTACGCTAATTTACGCATCTACTCCGGGTTGTAGGTAGATACTCTTGGTGTTATCATATGTTTACACAACTAGACCTAAGTAATTAATAATAAATACTACTAATAAGAAGTGAGTGTGGTTTCATAAGTATAGTGATGCTGGATTATGTGAATGTAAGTGTATGTTGAGCTGGAGGTAGTAGAAAGAGCTTGTTCTCGAGGGTGGGAGGCGTATTGCATGGTTGCTATGGGGACCTTCTTAGTTCTTGGACCCAGGAAAAAATACTAGCTGGACCCCCTTCTCAAAGACACTCGGATTTGAAAAGTTACAAGGTACCGTTACGGGCAAGTATTTAGTAATGACGTTCTTTGACGAGATAAGAAGAAGAGTATCAATAAAATGTCTAAGTTTTTGTTCATCTATCTCTCTCTCTCTCTCTCTCTCTCTCTATATATATATATATATATATATATATATATATATATATATATATATATATATAACCAAAATGCTAAATTATTTTAATAAAAAAAATCACTTCTTTGACGACTTATTCGTTACATGCTATTTTACACTAACTTATATATATATATATATATATATATATATATATATATATATATATATATATATATATAATTGCGTATCATGCGAACTTTGAAGACCTAATTGAAAGCTCATTTTAAGTAGATCGCATCATACACCAGATAAAAAAAAATAGCGTATGTACTTCTGTCTCTGGCTACGCCGTTGACCAAATTATATAGTCATTTACTGTAGTCAAATTAGCTTCAAAATTAGATCTTCAAAGGTCGCATGATACGCGAGTATATATGACATATATCTATACACCCATTCATACAGAAGTTGACATAAGACGCCGAAGGTGAGGGTAATACGTAGAGTGATTATACTCTGGAGCTCGAGCTTGATATTTGTTTAACAATCCCGACTTAGATGGGTTGAATAAGTATATATGTCTTAATAAGCGTTGTTCTTCGGTAGGGTTCCTAGCTAGGCCCCCCTTACAAAGGTGTATCCATGTTTGGACTCTGTCGGAGAGCACATTTTCTTTATTATGTTTTCTATAGTGCAGGGGCTGATATATGTAATGGTGATTTTCTAAGTACAGGCCGAAAGTATGGGGCACCTAGTGAAGATCGAACTGGCTACTCAGTCCTAACTGCTCTATCGAGACAAGTTTGCTACCCATTATAACACGTCTAGGTGCACAATGAATTTCTAAGCGTAGCTTAGATTTGGCACAAGGCCGAAAGTGTGGAGCACCCAGTGAGGATCGTAACTGGTATAACGAGAAAGTTTGTTAAGTATTACACCACGTCGAAGTGCCTCTGATAGTTCTAATGTACATTGTTTGAAAATAAAAATGAGGCGTTTATTTCAAATGAGGGTTTCCGATAAAATATCTCTTAAATATATATATATATATATATATATATATATATATATATATATATGATGAAAATATAGTTTTAAAATATGCTGTATTTTGTGTAAAAGTGCCCAGTGTTAGAGATAGACCGTATATAGATATAATTTATAAAAGTGGACACTTATGTCAACACCGAGCAGCGACAGTCTGCTTCATGCTTGAACACAATCTTCATGGCCTGAAAATTGCGTTCAGGGTGAAACAGACTGTCGCCGCTCTAATTACCACAGTGTCAAGTTATATATATATATATATATATATATATATATATATATATATATTGATGTGTATTTGGACAGCGACTGTTCTTTCAAGCATCTTTCATTGAAAACGGCCGACAAAGTAGATTTAATTAATCTTTAATTGAGCTTTTCCAGCAATCTAACATCTTTCCGTGTGCAGCCGCACACAGGATTTCACCATCCAAAAACAAGTCCTTGATAATGGCTATAGAACTAGCCGAAAGCGCTCAGCACAATTATAACTATGGATAATTCCTATATTCTTTAACCCATGAAAAACGTTACATTGTTGGAAAAACCCAATAAAACTCCTATACATTGTTGGAAAAACTCAATAAAAGATTAATTAAATCATCCTTGTCGGACATTTTCAATGAAAGATGCATATATATATATATATATATATATATATATATATATATTCAGTATGAATATATATATATACATATATATTCAGTATATATATATATATATATATATATATATATATATATATATATATATATATATCATATATATTCATTATGTATATTCAAGTCTTTCTGTGCGTGCATGTTTTAGAAAAATCGATATAATGTTTTAGCATAAATTTATTCTTCGTACTCCTACACACAGACAAGAAGATATATCTTTAATATATATTATATATATATAATCGATATGCAAATATTCAAATCTTTCTATATGCATATGTTATATATATATATATATATATATATATATATATTTATATAAGTTTGTGTATGTGTGTGCATGTTTTTCGTCCACAATTTTTCCAAAAGTCGATATAATGTTTAGGCATAAATCTACATTTGTACTCACAGAAGTAGTTAAATCATATATATATATATATATATATATATATATATATATATATATATATATGTGTGTGTGTGTGTGTGTGTGTGTGTGTGTGTGTGTGTGTTTATATATATAATTATATAATACATACATATATATATATATATATATATATATATATATATATATATATATATATGTGCGCTTTTATGTGTGTGTCCGTATACATATAACATGTATATGTGTGTTATGTCCTTGATCAAACATAAAATGATGACGTCCAAATGATAATAAAATTCTTTGAAAATATCTATTTCTACTTTTGCACTTTTCACTCCATTTTTTTTCCGTATATTTCCCGCTCTTTTTTGGCCTTGCTAAAGTCCGCTCTATTCCCACGTGTTTTGTTGTTAACGGTACACGGTATAGTGCCTATTAACGTTTTTCGCGGCACATTTCATTCCAAGGACGTGAGTCGAATCGATTCGACAGAAAACACGCACAATGAATGCTCCCTTTAGCCCACTTAGCACGCTGACAACAGCTGCCCGTGTCTTTTTACTCTCCTTTGGGTCCTTTTCTCTTCTCATTACTCTTCTTTTGCCATTTTTTCAAGGAGAGTTTCTTCTTGCTCCTCATTTTGTTCCGTGTCTGTTTGTTGTAGGACGTATTTTTTCGTCACATCTTTCGTTTCCATTCACTTCTTCCTTACTTACTTTTCAACTTCCACATTCTTTCCTCTTAAAACACACACGTCTTTACCTTTCTATACGTTCATTCATCTTCAGTGTTTCTTACTCGATTTAATCATTTATTTAGCCGGTCTCACATTTTTCAAGTTGTTCTTATTATTTTTTGTATGTTCCACAGTCTGTTTACCAGCTTTAAATTCTGTTTCTTTATTGAGTTAAGACGTAGCAGGTTTTTTTTCAGCTAGCTTTCTATCTTATCTCTCCTGTTATATAAATTCTACTCTTTTGCTATTAGATATCAGTTCCTAGCATTAATCCTTCATTTCGTGTCTATTCTATTGGTTCAATTCATTTATATCTGCCTTGCTTTGTTCCTGCTTATTGTTAATTATTCTCTTTAATTGGTCATTCCCCCTTACTTTTGTGTTCGTTTTGAAAAACCGAGTATAGAATGTTAGAATGATACAACAATGAATGTGTCATCTCTACCAAATAATTGCATACGTTATCTATCTATCTATCTATCTATCTATCTATCTATCTATCTATCTGAGTCTATATGTATTTTGCATTTTCTTTATGTATTTCATCATTTATCTCTCGTTATATATATATATATATATATATATATATATATATATATATATAGTATTTTTATATTTTCTTACTCATGATAAAATAAAGAACAAATAAGAAAGGTTTATAAATCTATCATGTTTCGCTTTTATTAAAGCTTCACCAGAGGATGAGATATAGAAAAAATTGTTGGGCATTTTTTTGGTATTGAGTGCCATTGGTTGAAACATATTTCACTTGCATTTGACGTATCAAGCAGCGTTCGTGTGAATAATTTTGTGTGTATGTGTATCATAATTCTAGTTTGTCTATGTGGGATTCAGATGATAGTGTTTGCATGTATGCATGTATGTACATCTCTCTTTCTGTCTGTCTGTCTGTCTGTCTCTCTTTCTGTGTATAGTAGTCACTATTCATGTTTGAAGGTCGTTCGCATGTTGATTTTGGGAGATTTTGACATCAACAACACTCTTGTTCCTATGTATTACAAGTGAGATTAAAGAGTGGCCTCAACATATGTCAATGTTGTGTTCATAGATGCACGCTTGTAGATTTCGAGACGTCTCTCCAATGGAAGTTTATCTATATTGCAATCAATTTATTTGATAAATCCCGGCATCTGAAGTGTCGTTGGCTCTATTTTCCTTCTTAATTATATCTCCTATTGTCTTGGAGGTGGTGGTAAAACCCCTAATATTAGAAATAACTAATTTAATTTTCATTTTTTTTTTAGATAGCGTGTTACAGGGTAGGATTATGAATTTTAGAAGTGCTATCGGCGTTGTCTATTTTCTTTTGGTTTTGTAGACTTTGTATACTCGTTTACTAGTGTTTTAAACGATGTGGGTAGTGAAGCAGTCTTACTTATATAAGAATGTTGAATTTGATGTACCAACTGACAGTCTGTTTCTCACTTAGTTATTTTTCAAAATGGGCGTGAGTTTATTTTGGTCGCTTCCGAGATGTAAAATTGAAAGAGAAATCGACACCAGTAAAATGGTATATAATAAAAAAGAGAAAGGAAAGCAGTAAGTGCGCTCTATGCATGGAAGATAAAACTGGAAATTATAAAATTTTAGAACGTGGATAGTTTATTTTGAATTTTTGGCAGGTTGACGCATTCCGTTTGAAAAACGTGAAAAGAAAGGTAGATCTCGGGACTATTCTCAATAAAGAAACGCTAATTTTGAAAAATCTCTAAGAAGGAGCTATTAATGGATAAATAAGTAAAACAAAGATTACTATATATATATATATATATATATATATATATATATATATATATATATATCAAAAAAATGCTAAAATATTTTTAATAAAAAAACCTGTGACAAATTATTTGTCACATGCTATTTTGCACTAGCTTATAAAGCGCATTTCTAACTTCTGTATAATACTTCAACAAACACACACACACACACACACACATATATATATATATATATATATATATATATATATATTCTGTTCATACGTTACTTTTATAAATATAATTTATTTAAGTAAATACTCCGTTTTTTTAATTAAACAGTATTAATTGCATTTAACGGAATGTTAGAGAAATTGCGTAGGAAATATGCGCTCTTCGATAGGAATCGAACCTGTAAAACTAATGGAACAATCATTTGATCTGACGTTCTGGTGACTATTCAGCCACCAGCTGATCAAAGAACGTGTATTTTCTACGAGATTCCTCGAAAATTATATTATTATAATTATAAATATTAAATAATTGTTGGACTTAATCCATTTCAATATATATATATATATATATATATATATATATATAGATAGATAGATAGATAGATAGATAGATACCCTAGTGAGCCAATTAAACCTACCTATGTTTCACTAAACGGATCGTCAGGGAAAGTAAGGCCTTTCTTTCGATCCGTTTAGGTTTATCCATTCAAATGTCTGGCTTACATCTGTGTATCTAGGTCTGCTCTACGGTTGTATTGAGCGCTTTTTGTTAGTTAGTTGTTTACTCGTATCAGGGTTTTTTTCTTTGGGCTTCAGACCTGCATCTGTGCGATTTTTTGTCGGCAGAAGTTCATGTTTGTAGCTCTTTCTTTTTTAAAACCTTTTTTTTCCGAAATCGATTTGATTATTAGCAAATCAAAAATTTGAGGGTTTTTCGAAACGAGTCTAGTTATCTATAATTATGTATATATATATATATATATATATATATATATATATATATACTGTTCAAAAGTTCGAGATAACCACTGGTAATTTTTTAAATCGACTCAAAAAGTTTTTTTTTGTACTTTAAATAAGAAAATTATTGTACATGGTTAAAAAAATGTGACATGTTTTTTTTTTATTTGAAATTTTATTATGACAAAAGAAAAGAAGCTTTTTATAATCAAATTTTGCTCTCGTCAAAATATCCTCCTTTAGTCTTGATTATTGCAGCACAATTTTTAGTATTCATTACAGACGTTTCTCAAAATATAAGTTTGATAATTAATCCCTTTCTTTTTTCAATGAGTATATAAGAGCTTTTTTTCATTTTTTTTTTTCACTCTTTTGTCAAGTTCATGCCATACTAATTTTGCGTGTGGCTTCGAACTTTTCACATAGGTACGTAGGTTTTACAAGCTACATTGTGATGGATGACTGCGTCTCTCCTTTTTGATTGGTTATTTGCATGCATATATAATGTAATGAATGGCGACTTATAATGAGAAATCGGCTAGCCAGGTTCGAATTCCAGATCATTTCTGATACATTTATTTGCTCACAATTACCATCGGAAAATTATGTACATTATTTACATTATTCGGACTATTGTCCTCATCATTGTCGCCATGTTTATCACAACGTTTCGGCCGTTGTACGCTCCGGTCTTCTCCAAGTGGTTCGAATGTCGAACTGAACGCTTTATTTCCTCACTGGGGTAGACTGACATGGCACTGTCATGTCTAATGGATGTCAGTTATCTCCTGTTAATTCCTCCACATATTGTACTCACACTCTTTGGGTCCTGGCATTCCTTATTACTGGGTCCCATATTGTATTCATTTCTATCCTTGGTCGGCTCAGGAGATATCTTTTGGCCTAGCATATGTGCTGATTCCTTAAGTTTACGAATTTTCCAATGATTTTCTTTGTCTGTGATCTCAACTTGATCCCACAGTGATCTCCCTTTTCTCTCCATATGTGGTCAGCCACGCCTGATTTTTCCACTTCCCCTCGTGTTACAGCTTTCTGGTCTTCTTGAAGCCTTACCTTAAGGGGGCGGCCTGTCTCCCCTTCATATTTATTTCCCCAGCTGCACTGGATAGCGTACGCACAGTCTTTAGTCATGTTTTCCTCTATGGGGGAGGGTCTTACTCGGGAGAGATATCTGCGAAGTGTTGTCAAGCTTTTGAAGGTTGTCCTGATGTTATATGGACCGCAGATCCTTTGTATTTTCTCTGATAACCCTTCACATAAGGCAAGCAGTCTGTTTTCTGAGTATTGTTGTCCTCCTCTTGTACCCACCTATCCCAATTTTTCGGAGCTACTGCTATGTATCCAGGGTAGTTGTTACGTTGTAGGGTACTACTTATACTGACCAATTCTTTATCTAATGTCTCTGGGTCGCCACGTATGACTTTTGCTCGATGATGTTTCTTTACGCTGTATGGATGGTGGGAGTTGAAATTGAGATACTGTTCAGTGAATGTCGGTTTACGGCATACGGATGTCTTGAACCCATGCTCTGTTCGAGATATTAGAACATCCAGGAATGGGAGTGTGTTGTTACTCTCTTTCTCCATCGTGAACTGTATCGAAGGTCTTATTGAGTTCACATGGTCAAGTAGAACCTGAACATCTTCCTGGTGTGTCCAGTGTATGAAGGTGTCATCTACGTACCTTAACCATAGAGTTGGCTTTAGAGATATAGATTCTAATGCCATTTCCTCAAAGTATTCCATGTATATATTCGTCATTGCTGGTGATAATGGTGAGCCCATTACTAAGCCTTCCTCCTGTCGATATATGTGCGATCCCATTCCGAAGTGTGTTGTTTGTGTACAGAAAGTCAACATCTCCATCAGATTATCTATTGCCATACTGGTCCGTTCTTCTAGGGATGAGTCAGAGGCTAATCTGTCTCTGACTACTGAGAGTGCTTCCTCCGAGGGTACCTTGGTGAACAAACTCACCACGTCCAAGCTCACCATCTGGTTGGATAGGATGGGAGCATCTTTGATTATTTCCACGAAGTGGGCGGAGTTTTGGACATATGAAGGAGATCAATTATATCTACAAGGATATACTCAGAGGGTGGCACACAGAGCCTTGGCAACTAACAATTGGCCTGAGCGGAATACCGTCTTTGTGACTCTTAGGGAGACCATATATGTGAGATCGCTTGGTGTAACGCTGCGATAACTGCCTATACGTCTTAGGTGAGAAGTGATCCTTGTTCTTGATTAATATCTGCGACAGTTTGCGTTCCATTTTCAATGTAGGATCCTTTTTTAGTTTGCTGTAGCTACCATTGCTAATGAGGTCTAGCTTTCTTGTATAATCTGATTTATCCATCACTACAGTTGCATTGCTTTTGTCAGCCGGTAGTATGATGATGTTTTCGTTCCAATCGCCAGCCTCTCCAGTTTCGTGATGTTTGATCTGGGCGGCTTGATCCTCTCCAAATTCTGTCTCACCTTCCATCTTAGTTCATTCGCCTGAGCCTGAGGAAAGTTCAAGGCCACCTCCTCGACATCATTGCCAATGTCCAAGTATGTCACTCGCCTGATGGTTGTGGCGAAGTTGAGACCCTTACTTAATACTGATTCCTCAGAGGCACTCATCTGATATTGGCTGATGTTGACTACTGCTTTCACTGGTGGGTGATGGACCTTGTTTGTCACCATCTGATCTTTTAATCTGTTTAATTTTTGTACTTGGCGGTCCTTGACTACATCGAATTCATGTCTGAAGGATTTATCCAGGTCATTTTGGATCCCTCTCTGGTCTTCATCATTGGTAATCCTGTTGAAGAAATCCTCACATTCCAACCAGCTGAAGAAGGCCGGAGCGTACAACAGCCGAATCGTTGTGATAAACATGGCGACAAAGATGAGGACAATAGTCCGAATAATGTAAATAGTGTACATAATACCTCATCTCAGAAATATAGAAAAATACCATCGGAAAAGTTAGGAATACATCTACTCCGTTAGCTGGGTGTTTAATATTTCTGAAAAAAATCATTTTCTTTCTCAAAATGTTTTTAATGCAATATTCACTCGCAATAGAAGAATTATTCTTATAATCCTAAATATATGTTTCGGCTTTAAATAATCCAAAAAGGGGCGATAAGCCATAAAAATAAATCAATTATTTTTCTTTGGTGTTTATAGCTGGGCATATACTTCGTTGGTATTTACAGCTGGTAACACAACGCCCTGTTTCAACGACTAATAATTACTGTCTTTGTGTTTGTTTTCTTAAAAGCTATCATGAAATATTGATTTACTGCTATAACTAACATTTTCTCTAAAGATTTTCAATTTTATTTTTTGTTTCTTCTTTTATGCCACTCACTTTCATCGTGAACTTCCGTTTCTTCTTTTATTGCCGTGTCACTTCAGAACGTGGACGATCATAGCTCTTTACAACTTCCGGTCTCTTTTAACTCCAAGAAACTTTTTACCATTTACCATTCTTCTTTGTGCCCGCTCTGCTGTCGATTTATTAGGTAGTTTATTCGCCCTTCTTGCCTTTAATATTTCCCGTGAGCGTTAAATTCCCCAAGTATTGTTTCCTCACTATGTGTCCCAGAAATTTCAACTAACTGTAAATATAAACTTCCCTGCTCTTCCGGTCTGATCATGGCGTTCTCGGCATTCGTCGATAGGATGAAATCTCTGTCACTTCAAGTCTCTTCTCCATCAGGAAATTATTCGGCCTTCTCTGTTGTATAAGAGATTCGATATGAAAGTTGACCACTCTGTTTGAAACGAAATTTAACTATCTCTTATATTTTCTTTAGTTTCTGAAGGGCAATTTTCGCTTTTTCGATTACGCTTTCGGTTTTCTGAGTCCTAATGTCTGTCATCTGTTACTACGATAGCCAGACAGCAACATTTCTGTACGTAGTTGACTTTGACGTATTCAACTCGTAGGTTGCATTTTAAACTCTTCCTTGTACATTCTATCTCCATATAATTAATAGTTCGTCTTTTCTTCTTACTCTCCTTTATTGCCGTGTCTAGGAGTTCTTGTAATTTCATTTCAAATTTTACCAGGTCCTGGCTTGCGTTGATATCATGTTGAAACGCCAGTCCTCGTACGATCACCGAAGTTAAGTAACTTCGAGCCAACGTCAGTACATAGATGGGTGACCATTTGAGAATACCAGGTGCTGTAAGCATAAAAGAGGGACGAGATCGTGTAAATTTATTCAATAATGAGAACAGAAGGATAGAAATTGCGAAAAACATTATCATTATAAAACAAGTGAAAATGAAAATGAAATCCTTGTCAAGATAAGAACACGAAAGAAACTCATTAAAAGTGAATAGAAATGCCTCAAGTTTCTTTTTTCATCATGCTTGAAGACTCATAATACATAAAACATTTCAGTGCTCTTTTATGTTACTAACGAAATTTCCCTGTTTCGTTAACTCCTTCCCTTTTTGGAAAAAACGTTTCATTTTCAAAAGAAATTTTTATTTGTTTTTAATACAGTAACTAAGAAACAGAGGTACCTTGAATTACCCGAACGATGGCTAACATCTCTAGCAGATGTATTAGTTGACAATTGAACTCGTTTCAAGCTCAGAAGAGCAAGAAAATAATCAAGATTGTCGTATAAACACGCCTTTAACTTGTTTTTGAACGTTATGTTTTAGACATGTTTATACAACTGAAAAAGACACTTTCGATAAAAAGAAAACGTATATAAACGTCTACGCCGGTGAAGGGGTTAATACGTTGCTTAACTTTTGGAACGTTTCTTTATCTATTCCAATACACCTTTGGATTTCTATTATTTTCTACCCGTCCTCTGTGAAATGACCATCTCAGATATTGTAGCATATCTACGGATGATAATCAGTATGTTCCCATTCACATAAATACAGTAGTAAATACTGTATGTTGGTCTGCAGTTGAAGATTCGTCTCCAGCTGTGCTGGTCAAACTCTCTGCCTCCGGGCAGAGAGGATCCACAAACGTTTCATCTTCAGACGAAATTTTTATTTGTTTTTAATATAGTAACTAAGAAACTGAGTTACCTTAAAGTACACGAACGATGGCTAACACCTCTACCGGATGTATGAGTTGACAATTGGACAAGTTTCAAGCTCAGAAGGGCATAAAAAGAATCAAGATAGTCGTATAAATACGTCTGTAGCTGTTTTCTGAACGTTTTGGTTTGGATGTCTTTATTCGTCCGTGTCTGAGAAAGAATAGATCAGAGTAAATTGTTTCTAGTTCCTTAATTCTGATTAAATACCAAAATAAATATTTATTGATTTTAATCATTATCTAGCAGAGCATTAACGCAAAAAGAAAAAAAAAACAAAAACAATCGCATGATTTCTTTTCTTTCTTTCTTTCTTTCTTTCTTTCATCGAATGTTTTCTTTCTTTATTTACCTTATTCTTTTTCCCTCTGTATATCCTGCGCCATCTTTCTTTCTTTCTTTCTTTCTTTCTTTCTTTCTTCCATCGAATGTTTCATTCTTTTTTTTTACCTTATTCTTTTTCCCTCTGTATATCCTGTGCCATCTTTCTTTCTTTCTTTCTTTCTTTCTTTCTTTCTTTTGTTTCTTTTTTTTACCCCCTTCTGATATCCTGATTTGTTTCTTTTTTCTTTCTTTTTCTTTTTTTCTTTCTTTATTTCCCCATGTTGAATGATTTCTTTCTTTTTTTTACTTATTCTTTCTTTCTTTCTTTCCATTTTCTTTCTTTTTTCTTTCTTTCTTTCTTTTCTTCCCCCATCGAATGATTTCTTTCTTTTTTTACCTTATTCTTTTTCCTTCTGTATATCCTGTGCCATCTTTCTTTCTCTCTTTCTTTTTTCTTTCTTCCATCAGATGATTTGTTTCTTTTTTTTTACCTTATTCTTTTTCCTTCTGTATATCCTGTGCCATCTTTCTTTCTCTTTCTTTCTTTTTTTTTCTTTCTTTCTTCCATTTTTTTTTTTTTCCCCATCATGATTTGTTTCTTTTTTTACCTTATTCTTTTCCTTCTGTATATCCTGTACCATCTTCTTTCTTTCTTTCTTTCTTTCTTTCTTTCTTTCTTTTTTTTACTTTTCTTTTTTTTCTTTATCCTTTCTTTCTTTCTTTCTTTCCCCCATCGAATGATTTCTTTCTTTTTTTACCTTATTCTTTTTCCTTCTGTATATCCTGTATATCTTTCTTTCTCTCTTTCTTTCTTTCTTTCTTCCATCGAATGATTTGTTTCTTTTTTTACCTTATTCTTTTTCCTTCTGTATATCCTGTGCCATCTTTTCTTTCTCTCTTTCTTTCTTTCTTTCTTCCATCAGATGATTTGTTTCTTTTTTTACCTTATTCTTTTTCCTTCTGTATATCCTGTGCCATCTTTCTTTCTTTCTTTCTTTCTTTCTTTCTTTCTTTCTTTCTTTCTTTCTTTCTCCATCGAATGATTTCTTTCTTTTTTTTACCTTATTCTTTTTCCTTCTGTATATCCTGTGCCATCTTTCTTTCTCTCTTTCTTTCTTTCTTTCTTCCATCGAATGATTTGTTTCTTTTTTTACCTTATTCTTTTTCCTTCTGTATATCCTGTGCCATCTTTCTTTTCTTTCTTTCTTTCTTTCTTTCTTTCTTTCTTTCTTTCTTCCATCGAATGATTTGTTTCTTTTTTTACCTTATTCTTTTTCCTTCTGTATATCCTGTGCCATCTTTCTTTCTCTCTTTCTTTCTTTCTTTCTTCCATCGAATGATTTGTTTCTTTTTTTACCTTATTCTTTTTCCTTCTGTATATCCTGTGCCATCTTTCTTTCTTTCTTTCTTTCTTTCTTTCTTTCTTTCTTTCTTTCCTCCATCGAATGATTTCTTTCTTTTTTTTACCTTATTCTTTTTCCTTCTGTATATCCTGTGCCATCTTTCTTTCTTTCTTTCTTTCTTTCTTTCTTTCTTTCTTTCTTTCTTTACATCTTCCATCGCATCATTTGTTTGTTTGTTTCTTTCTTTCGTTTCCACATTTCTTTTCCCCTGATTATTTATTCCATCGCTCTTACTTTCCCTTTTCTTTTCTTAATTTTTCCTCTGTATTTCCCTTAGCTCTTTTTATCATTATTTCCTCATTTCTCCTTTGATAATCCTCTGCGTCTCTTCCATATACAGATATTTTTCTTCATTTACATGTATCTTTCTCTTTCACTTAAATATTTCCTTATACATCTCTCATAATGTTTCCTCACCTTTTAATGTAACATTTTAAAAACATGTGTTGTTCGTGCCAAGTCTTTTATTTAGCTGATATAGATGCCATAAATCACTATTCATTTACTCGTGTGATTATTTTTCTTTCTTTTATTAGCACTTAATCTTATCTTCCTTCTTTTTTTATAAAGATATTTTTATTGGTCTCTCTTTTATTTTTATTTTTTATTTAATTCCTCAATATCTTCCCTACCTGACCTCTATTTCCCTGAAATGGTTGCACGTATTTCGCTTTTAACGGGTCTATCAGATGTCGCCAATCGATCGAATAAAATTTGAAGTAAAAATAAAAATTGAGCTCAAACGCTACACGAAGAGGAATTAAGGAGAAACGATGCGATAAAAAAGAAGAAGGGACCAGTTGAGTAGTTTGAACGAGAACAGACGAATAAAACCGAATCCCTCATCAGAAATTCAAGGAGATACAAATCGGAAGAATTAAAAACGAAAAAAAAAGAACGCTTGAATAAATGAAGACGTGGATTGAATACAAATGAAAACCAACAAAATACCATCTTATTACAATAACAACTATTATTTCTACTCCTACTCCGTCCTGGGTATGACGATAAACTACATCCAGCAGCAAAGCCTCTGATCGGGAGGTTTTGAAGAGCGTGGAACAACCTCTTAATTGCTGTTGTTCCCAGGTCCACTCTGACCCGGGGTGGTAGCACCTGTTAGGGACCCAATAGTTAACCCCTGAACTATGAAAGTATAAGAATAGATTTTTAGAGTAAAAATATCAGCAGTACATTTTAAAAAAAAAATACCAACAATACATTTTGGAAAAATATCACTGGAAATACATTTAAAAAATATTACCAGCAATACCTTTTTGAAAAAAAAAATATTACCAACAATACATTTGAATCTCAACAAAAATCCTATTTACAAAAATATGTCAATGAAATCTAATCTACAAACAGACTTCCTACAAAGAATACATATTCTATTCATACGAATCTATTCTAAAAATCCTGTCGGCATTAAATAAACCATTGAGGTTGATATACCGTAAAAGAAAATAAACCTAACCCCACCCACACTACTACTACTACTACATGACAAACAACATCAATAAGATTATATTTAATGATCACAACTGCATGTTATTGCTAGTGAGTTCCGTGCACAAACAATCTTCTTACATGTGCGTTCTTATTACTCGGTAAGAAAACCCCAGCTCCGTCTGCGGCAGATTACGCAGGTCACGTGACTTAGAATCTCGCTTATTGGACGCCTTTACAGGTCATCTCTAGGTAGATTGTCAACCTAGGCTCAAGTGCAAATATATATCAATTAGCGCAACATGTGACAGCCCAATTTTACTCACAAGGCTTCGATCAGCCCGTGGTATGAGCTTCAGGTGCTCCCCAACCGTGCCACTCGCTGGTATCGTCTCTCCAGTTCCTTTAACAATCGCAATTAATCTCTAAATTTTCGACCACGTGCCCACATACAGGCTAAACACAGCTAACATCTTCTGTTGCTGCAACCTTTCGAGTAAGATTCCACAGTAAAAATCCTATTTTATACAAGCAAAATATAATTAGGCATAATAATATTATAGCGCTGACAATACTCATATTAAGCCAGAATACAGCATTTCACATTGTTAATCATTCAAAGTGAAATCTTCCTTTATTAGGCCGGTCCTTTATCAAAGCCAACATTTAAAATTATTCTTACAGAACAAGATACTATAGGGTTAAATAAAACTAAACTTGTACTAAAAATGCTGGTGTACCACTGAGATGTGTAACCATTTGATTTCAAATGAATTGTAAGGATAACAGATTTAATAAAATTTTAGTATTACTAAGAGATTTATAGTGAGGAAGATATCTAATAACACAAAAATGTACACGTCGTCTCATAAACTCAATTATCAATTGCCTGTGATTGAATTATTTGTGTTATCGCATGGTTTGGAAGTTTGTATTCTACTGAATT